TACAGCACAAAGAGAAACAAAAGGTCACACAGAAGGAGAATCTGTGCAAAACTGTCATAATTCAATCTAAACTAATTGATGGATATCACATATGCAACTATTCTGCACTTGCTGAACATGGGGAGAATTAAAACCTGGAGCATATGGACTGCTTTATTAGCTTATAGTTTCATATACCTAATGAATAGTGCACAGTTCTATTCTCTCTAAGGACTCAGTATTACTTACTGTTAATATACCATTGTGATAAAGGTCTGCATAAAAATACCCACATAGTAAGAGACAAATGTTTGATAATGCATTTTATCTAGAGAGAGACAAAAATGTCTAATAAAGTTTTACATATGAAAAATACCTAGACTTACCTTCTTTCATAAAGCAACATTAATACTTTCTGTATTAAGATACCCAGTGCAATCAAGGAAGTTGATGCATACCAGTGAAACATAAGCTTCAAAAGACTTACCATAGTCTCAGATAACCCAGAAAATGTTAAAAGGAATTATTTTCTGAAGAAAGCAAATTTTCTCCTGGACTAATTCAACATTACTGTTTTGGCTCTCATAGCACCAACAAATGCTTTCAAATAATTTTTTTTATTCTTCCAATACCTCTTTCCATTCCCTTTCTACTATTTAAATGAACAGTAAATTCATTGGTAGCAACAAGTAACAGGCAATTAACTGTTGTGACCTTTTCAGGAATGTTTTAAAATGGAATAAGATGAACAAGAGTTAAGAATATAAAATAATATTTTTTGTTATGTTCACAATTAAGAGTTTTCAATTAATCTCTCTCTCATATGCACACACATACGCACACAGCAATAATGCAGTTAAGTACCTAATATTCAGGACACTTAGAAAAAAAATACCACCATACATCTTAAAACGCCCTATAATCAAAGGCAAATACAAGTTACTGGCGATCTGGATGAATTATAATTGTAAACCCAGAATACTTCAGAGATATAAAAGAACTAGGTATTCTCCCTCAAATCTTTAAAATTTAAATTCTATTTTGAACAATTGGAAACAAGCAACTAAAAAGTATCCAGGACCAGTTGTTAGCCCTACAGTCTAATAGGCACAAGTTAAAGTGTAAGATTTCTGCTATTTGCAAGATTTCTGTTATTTGCAGCTTTTTTTTTTTTTTTAAATGATAGCTCCAACAGTTGGAAAAGTTTTCTATTATCATTAAAATTTTTCTGTGTTTTGAGTGAACATTTCTAAGCTGAGGTATGGTTCCATCTCTAAGCCCATTCAATACTACCCTTCCTCCTGAAACTACCAAGACAGACACAAATAGAAGTGGGGGGGCAGGGCTCTTGATTTTCCAAAAACCTATTGATAAACGCCAAAAAACAAGCCAAGGAAGGAAACCCATGTCAACTCTTCAGTCCTTTTACATTTCACCATTGCTAGTGTCATAGACAAAGCTGGCTACAGGCAGCCTTAGCTGAGGTGATCTAGTTGGGGGATGGTCCTGCTTTGAGCAGGGGACTAGACTAGATGACCTCCTGAGGCCCTTCCAACCCAAACTTCCTGGTTCTATGATATGTTTTGACATACTGGTAAGTTTATCAGAAAACATTCAGATCATCCAACCAACATCATCGACATTCCTGTTTAGTGCAAATGTTTGTTTGTACTAGTGACCCATAAGTGAGAAATTAATGCAGTACTTGTTTTTACTGAAATATATCACCATGTGTTATTTCCTCCCATGCCTATGCTTCTAACTAGATAGCTTTAAGTTCAGCACATCCCAAAAATCTCACCAAAATAAAAAATTTATGAAGTATTACAAAAGCCCGTGCCATATCTCACATTATTGCATGCTCAAGTTGTAGTCTATATTAGGCCTGTGCAAAGCTGCAGTCCCTGACTTGATTTAGTGGAGATTCGGACCAATTCGGTGGCCGAATCTCTGAACCTAAATTGAATCAGAGGACCCTTTAATTTCTCTGAATCAAATAGGAACCCTCTGAATCAATTCAGAGATTCAGACATAGACACAGCTTTAAATGTTTTTTCTACATACCTCTAGGTAGCAGGCGACTCGTGAGTGCTGTGATGCTGGGGCACATGGAGTGTCCCACAAGAGCACAGGGGCTCCCCAGCGTGCTCAGCAGCAGACACAGAAGTGGACCAGAAGCACTTCCAGTCCACCTCCGGATCTGCCGGGAGCGTGCAGGCCCCACCCCATATTCCCCCTGGTTTGGCAACTGGTGCCTCCTAGGTCTGGGGGGGCATCTGGGGTGCCCCCACAGCTGATTGCTAAGCCGGTCCAATTCCAGGTTCGTTGCTGAGCACATGGAGGGCCCCCTGCACTCCTATAAGATACTCCATCTGCCCCAGCATTGCACCATTCACAAGCCATGCTGGTACCTCAAGGTATGTAGAAAAAGCATTTAAAGCTGTGTCTATGTCCAAATCACTGATTCTCCGAATCGGCATCAAATCTTCGGATTCGGCCTAATCAGTGATCCAAATCAATTAATTGAATTACTGTTCCAGATTTGGGCCGAATCCAAATCCAAATTGAGTAGGGCCTGCTTCACACACCCCTAATCTATTCGTCTCGACAGACATACTCAATGTCAGTGTTCTGACTAAAATTATGCTCCAGCTCCTGTAAGTCTAAAACCTAAATAAAAACTACCAATTACAATAGGCACTAAAAATGGTTCTCATTTTAACAAAGCTGTCATGGAGGAGGACATCTATGGAAGTGGCAGTAGGAAGACTGCCAAGGCAAAACTATTTGCCAACTCTGTATGGGCAGGTTCAGAGATCTGAGGGAAGGACAGAAGAAAGGCAGGTTAGGCCACTGAATCCACACTTACAAAGAGCCAGAGAGCAGCAGTTACAAATCCTATATAGGAGCTGTGCCTGGAACAAATTTTAAGATCAAGTCCCAGGGTCTAGAGTAGCAGTCAGAAAGGCTACAATTTTGCATTGCAACCTATTCATTGGTGCAGTTTCTATCCTTTCAATATTCGCACAGTTCTCCAGACAAACCCTGCATCCTCTGACTTCGGTTCACTTGGCAGTAGCTTGGGAATCTCACTTTGGTGCAGGAAAAATTATTATACTACTTATCCAAATTCTCAGGTTGGTGTATTTTGAAACACTACTTGAAAAATACCAGAATCAGTTCCATGGCAAGAGTTTCATTTCCATGAAGATTAATGGCAATTTTCAATAACAATGTTTAAAGACTTACTTTCTATAATATGAAATACTTATTTTCCAGAAACAACCTGATGTTTTGTTAGAAGAAAAAATGACTTAGTACAGAAAATCTAAAAATAATACAATGCCTAAGAATAAAACAAAGAATTATGATAAATATGTGAAGTAAGTGTACATGGGGAAAAAATGTAGTGTTTCTCAGCAAAACTCACCACCTGGACACAAGAGCAGGCTGACATTGTATACCTAGACTTCCTAAAGGCCTTTGATCTAGCATCCCACAATGTCCTCAAGAGAGAGTCAGGTGGGTGAGAAACTAGCTGCAGGATAGGACCCAAAGAGTCATAGTGAACGGATCCAAGTCATCCTGGAGAGAAATGGGCAGCATTTCTGTGTCCCACAGAGGTCACTGCTTGGCCCAGTACTTTTCAAAATCTTTATTAACGATTTGGATGTGGGGGTGAAGAGGTCACTGGACAAGTTCGCAGAAGACACCAAGTTATGGGGGAGCACAGTCACACTTGAAGATACAGGCTACAGATACAGGCAGACCTAGACAGGCTAGCAAGTTAGGCTGGTCAGAACCTCATGAAGTTCAACACTGAGAAATGTAAAGTGCTCCACCCTGGGATGAGCAACCCCCAACACACCTACAGGCTTGGCGGCACCAAACTAACTAACACCACAAGTGAAAGGGACCAGAGGGTAATAATAGACCACAGGATGAATATGAGCCTGCAGTGCGATGCTGTAGCCAGTAGGGCAAATAATACTCTGGCATGCATCAATCGATGCATCTCCATCAAAATCAAGGAGGTGATTCTTCTGCTCTATTCAGCAGTGGTGAGACCACAGCTGGAGTACTGTGTCCAGTTCTAGACACCACACTTTAACAAGGACATGGACAAGCTTGAGAGAGTCCAAAGAAGAGCCACCCATATGTTCAGAGTCTTATACAGCAAGCCATATGAGGAAAGGCTGAGGGATCTGGGATTTTTCAGCCTCAAGAAAAGAAGGCTAAGAGGGAACCTGGTAGCAGCTTACCACTACACTAGGGGAGTACATTAAGGGCTCAGTGCACAACTGTTCACCAGGGCACCTGAGGGGAAAACTAGGAGTAATGGCCACAAAACACCTGGAAGACCAATTCAGGCTCAACATTAGGAAAAACCTCTTCAAAGTCAGGGTGTCCAGACTCCCGAATAAGCTCCCTCCAGAGGTGGTACAATCACCTACCCTGGAAATCTTCAAGTCACCTTACTGGGGTCACCTGACCCCCAGTTATCTTTCCTGCTTGGTGCAGGGGCTGGACCCGATGATCTTCCAAGGTCCCTTCCAGCCTTACAGTCTATGAAACTATGAAAAGTGTATTAATCTGTGCTGAGTTCCATGCTACCATCTCTAGACTGCTACCAGCACTACAGATAATTCTCTCTAGTATTTGTCACTCACTCTGCTATTTCTACAGGATGCTCCAGTGAAGACATAACACAGCTGGCATCATTGCAAATTAAAATAGAAAAAGAGAGAAAATTAAGACTACCCTACATTTAGACTACCCTTTTCAAGGGAAAAAAGAGGAGAAAAAAAGCTGACTCCTGGAAAACCCAGTAATTTCCAGCAAAATTAGAGTAAAAGCATAAAAGCAAAAGAGCATCTGAATTAAGCTTTAATAATGCCACAACCTCTGCAAAATGACTATTTCCCCCCCAAGGAAACATGGACTTTTAGTCCTTGAATTGCCTCCGGCTATTTCCTTCATGTATTGACATTTCAACTTAAAAATGTAAACAGTTCGCTTACCAGAAGTATAGGAAAATGTGTTGCATACTGCAAGTGGCGAAGGTCATAGCTGGAAGGAAAAATCAGTTCTTTCAGTCTTTCCCGCTTGACTGTCTTCTCACTGTTAACTGAGATTCTTCTGTCTAACGAAGAGTTCACATTCTCACAAGACTCCGCAGGCATCGGAGAAAAAATCTAAGTCATGTAGAACAAACGGTTAAGGTATTTGTAAACAGAGACATTCAAAATTTAAACAATCGTATGGTAGGACTGAGTTTGCTCTTATTTACAGGTTTTTCATACCAGCGTAACTATTTAACATGGGAATTCCACTGGTGTAAGTGCAATAAGTATTAGGCCCAATGTTTAACAGATAGACATTACTCCAAATATTGTGCATGAAGTACTAGCAGACAAAAGCAGTCCGCAATTGAAGTAGTATTACAGTTTACTTCCCTTGTGTAACTTCTAACTTGCAACAAAGAAAATACAAATTACATTTTATTCAAAAGACAGAAAGACAAAGGAATGGAAAGACAAAAAGCTGGATTCATGGAAATTAGAGGAGAGATGCCTTCTGGACAACATATAAACTGATATGACGATATCACTGGGAAAGATCTCCGGTAGATACAGCCTCAGTTCTACATGGTGTACTGGCTTTAAAGGGGTGGGCGTAGGTATAGCAGTCTGTGTAGATGCAGTTCAAGGGTCAGCAAATAATACCAACAATTAGAGATAAGTTGTGAAATTCAGAAGTACTCCAAATTCAACAGACAGGACAAAAAAAGAAGACTCAATCAAATGAAAAGCCAAGTTACAGAACAGCAATTTGGGGTGTGACCAATTAGTATAAAAGAAATATGATTACACATGCATATTAATGCAACAGTCCTCTAACTATACTGAAAAGGGCACAAAAGACAACTGTATAAACCAATGAGACAGCTGTGAAAGAATTAAGCAACGCTGTCAAAAGAAGATATATGGCTGTATTAAAGATGACAATACCTTGCATGCGTTATATTAGTGACTGTAAATGAAAGAATACAGGGTATATTAAAAAAATAAGATTGCTCAAGTTCAGGATCAAGCAGAACACATTTCTGGTGCACACAACAGGCAAGAGACAAGGAAATGAATAGTGTGTAGAAAAAAAAATTAAACCTACTGGGAATTCCGAACCAAAATCAGTCTTAAAGTCATTCTTGTCTACATCATCAAAAATATTAGTGGTTCCTGAGTCAATGCCCATATGTTCCATAATGCTATGATCCTAATAAATCAGGGAAAAAATAAACTTCAGTCAGATAACAATGAAAGCCTAGTTTGACTGGTCAGAAGGTAAAATCAAAAATTCCAGCCATTTAATAGTTAATGTTTAAAATTAGGCAAGAAACAATTCTAGTATCTGTATTCACAACATCCCCCAATTCATAAGCACTTTCCACTGTATACCCATATACTGAGAATAATCAAGGACAGGGATCAAAAGAGGAGGGGGAGAGAGAGGAAGAGAGACACTGGTGACCATCCATGGGGACTCTTCTGGAACTCAAAACTGCTTCCCACTCATAGCACTGCCTGCCTTCTCCCAAGTGTTCCTGCTTCTTGGTACAGCTGTCACTGAGAACACCATGGAATGCAATTTATATACACTCTACCTCTTTCAAGGCAAATTTGGCTAAGATGATTGAAAATCTTAGAAAACACTTAAAATGGTCATCAGCACTACTGGGACTGTGCTGCATGATCATTATGTAATTAAGGGTCTAATCCAAAACCCACTAGATTGATTTTTATTAGTTCTGGAACAGACCTGAAGAGCTGATCTTTTCCTACACTTCAAATTGCACCTTAGCTTTCACATTTCAATAATAAGTACTTGTATTACTATATTCAGTTCATAGGACATAAATATAGGGATTAGGTATGTGCTATATATACACAAGTATGTGTTATACGGTTACGTATGGTTACAGGTATGTTTGGGATACACCAGATAAACCAGAAAAGGATTTTCATGTTCAAATCTCCTTTAATTGTTAAAAGATCATGCTTAAAATGCTGCACTCCTTGGTTGGAGATTTGTTTTCAATTAAAGGATGCTACTAAAACTTAATATGCAAGAAATAGGTGAAGACATGCAGTTTACCTCCAATTTCATATCATGGTCCTTGGAATAATGTTCATCCACAGTTTCTCCAGTAGGTGAGCGTGGTCTAGTAGCCGTAGTGATTGACAAGTCTCCACGTGATATTAAAGTGCACATATAGGCATCATGTGAAAAAACATCATGTCGGATGAACTCAGAAAATAGCAGCACCAGATTCACAAATTCAGTCTTCTCGTACTCACTATTCGGGTCAGCTACCAAAAAAAACCATAAAAACCTTTCTTAATAGAAATTTAATAAACATTTGCTTTTCAGGTCTACAAAAATGCAAAACTCTGCAATGTGTTTTGTGTCAACAGCCATTTCTTTAAAAAACAGCTTTTGACCCCTAAAGATCGCTTTTCTTCTCTATATAACAAATTATTTCTAATTTAATGACACACCACTAAAACACTTTGCCTTCCTACCACTTCCTACATAGAGGTGGGTTCCAAAGAAGTCTATTCCACACACAAACTTGCACCAATTTGTGTAAAATGCAAATCCAAAATTCAAATATTTCCAAAAATTGAGAGGTATGATCAAGTTCTACAGAGAAGAAAAACTTATTCTTGTCCTTAAGATTTTGATTAAAGAGATACTTATTTCTGCTGCTGGAGTAAACTTTAGTACATCTTTTAGGACATGTATTTACATTTTTAAATCAAAGATTATAATTACAAACAAACTGAACAATTATAAATACACCAAACATAGAAGGGGAAGCCAAAGGGAAAAAACAATAGACCAGATTTTAGACATTTGAAAGTGCACAATAGATATTTTGATCATTTTACCTAGGTTCTCTTTTTTCTCTGTATTTCTCTCATGTAATAATTTATGAGCATATTACTTATTGTAAAAATACACCAGAATCTTTCCCTCTTTCCATGTCACTGAATAAGGGTTCAGAGGGGGCATGTATTCACCCACCTGGGCATTTTCCAATAAAAGTGATATTTTTCTTATTAATGGCCTTTTTAAACATTATGCTTTAATTCCATTCAAAGTGTTTCAGGATACATGCAGATGTTACTCCTGGATTGACCTAACTAGCATTAGGTAGGTCAATATAAACACCAAACTGTACATACACTAAGACAGTTCAGATCAGGCATAAAGTGACCAGCCCAATGTAGTGTAATTCACCTAAGAAGCTCCGCTACGTAGATCAGGCTAAACCATGCCCAATCTAACCAAATGTGTGTGCACTTTTAGAGCGCGTCCCTGGGGTTGGGAAAGCTCAGCTGCTCACCTCAACCCCAGGGCTGTTTTTTCTACCCCTCCCTGCCACCCAGACCTGACCAGGCTATTTTAACCTTCCTGACCCCCACCTTCCCCCCGCAGTCCTGGACAGACAACCTTCCACCCATGCTCCTAACCACCCCAGCTTACTTAGATCTCATTCCCAGCACAGCTCCTAACACCAGCAAATATGTACGCAAGTGGGACCCACTATACCGTCACACAGAGTAATCATAGCTTGGGTCCCAGGAATGTCCTCATCTACCCTTAGATAATTATTTCTTTTCCAGCTTCACAAAAAAACTGTGTTTATTTTATCCATAACTGTGCTGAAGCATAGATAAGCAATAACTTTCTTTTGGCAGTGAAATACAGTTATAACAAGTAAGAAAAGTTTATCAACATGAATGATCAAGTATGCATTATTGTCAATGTATCACTGCACATTGACAAAGAAACAAGAATGCTCTTAATCATAGGTGACTGATGGGGAGGGTATGAGGGGGCATGTGCCAGCCCAGTCCCTGCCACCGCAACCAGCTTCTGCAGGTGTTAGCCAGCCCCGTCCCCTCCACCGCTGCTTCTGCAGAGGCTCGCCAGCCCAGTCCCCTTCACCACCGGCTTCTGCAGAGGTTCGCCAGCCCTGCCCCCGCTGCTGACACCGCCTCCAGCTTCTGCAGGTCCTCAACAGCCCTGTCCCCTACACAGACACCTGCTTCTGCGGGTGTCCACCCAGACTCAGGAGGCACCAGTCACCCATGTTCTTAATGTTTGTATTGGTCATAGCAATACAAATTTTGTCAGATTTTTAACATTAAGGCTTGTAATCATGCAATGGTATTGTAGTGCTATAACATAACTTCTTTATTAGGAAATAAAACTTCCATTTAGTAAGCTACCACTAATTCAACCAATTATGAAGTATTTAAAAAGAAAAGGCTCCTATACACATGTACGGAGGGTGTTCCAACGCACTGTAATTACAAGACACTGGAGCAAATTCAACCAACTGCTGAAGCATGATAGTAACCATGCTCCAGCAGACTCCAGTGTATCAACATCTCTGACCTGAAAAATGGCAGTGGAGGTACTTTAACTAAAGCTCCTTCAACGCGCTTTAAAGCACCCGCACCACCATTTTTCAGCATGGGGATGCCAATACATGTGATGCTTCAGGCACTTTAATTACCGTGGGTCTCGGAACTGCACTAATTTAAACTACTCTCCTTTCCCCCAAACACATACACCCCTACCGGAGCACATCTGTAAACACCCAAAGTGAAGTCACACTGCAAAGATTGGAACCACTTCAAAACAACCATTTTTATACACACAAATAATTACTGTCACATTGTTATACAACTGACAGACAAACAACTCTGATTAGATCATTCCTAGCTTAAGACAATTTTTTAGTTTACTGTTGACTCTAAATGCCCTTTAAAGATGTATCTGTTCTAAATATTGTATACTACTAGACTTCTGATGCTAACAAACCTATTTCAGCACTGTCCAAAGCTTGATTAACTCCACAAAATTAATTAATATCATCTCTAAAAGATGAGAAAATTCAGACAACAGATTTAACAATACAAACATTCCTACATCAGAATGCTTTTCTAGAGACAATACTTTTCTTAAAAGCACAAAAGGAAAGGCACATGGGTCATTAAGCCTGGGATGGTCCTGGCCAGAATGAAACCATTAGCAGCTACATACAGATTTTTATAAAAGCGTTAAATTAATATTCTCTCTTGGTGTCAAGATTATAAACTTTTGAAGAACGGTGCCATTCCCATAAAAAAAAGTTATAACATCCTTCTCCCAAAAGGAAATAGAAGCCTATGTGTCCGACAACCCTAAGACCCAAGGACATTATAAATTTGTAAAAAGAGGGGGGAGGGGTCACAATGGAAACTGTGAATCAGTAACGTTACCATAATGAAACACAATTTCCATAGCATCACCATAATGAAACACAATTCCAGTAACTGGGCATAAGCTACTGCCCTGTTTTGGAACAGTAATTAATTAATACTTACATAATGAAGGAGCCTGCGTATCTAAAAACCTAAGGAGGACATTCTGGAAAACAGGAAGGCTGGAACCAGTGAGAGAAGCTGAAGAAATAGATTCCTTTTCATCGAGGACTTCTGACTCACCACACCTCTATGGAATAAAAAATACCAAATTAGCATGATACAACTTCACATTTGTTTCTCTTAACAACATAGCATCTATCTAAAGCTCATACATCTCACCAATCACTATTGAAGAGAAGCATTATTTCATCACTGTCTAGCAGTATTTTTAATATTTCTTAAGTATCTATTTAAGCATCGCATAACAAATATTAAAAAGCAGTACTTGAGAACTCCCTTCTTGTGTAAGGGGTTACAGTTACTTAAGTAAAATTCAAGCAAACAATTTTTTGGATTGTTTTCATGCAAAGACTGCAATTATAATTTTGACAAAGGAGGTTAATCTTGTTTTATATGCCAGTTTCACCAATTTAAAATAAAAAGCTCAGGACCCCCAAACCAAACTCCCTCTGCTCCCTTTCACTTCTCCCATTCTGAAAACAGTGTCAGACTGGTAGTCTATACTGGGGTGAACCAAGTAAGATCGGATGGTCATTTTAATGCGATCTAACCTTCCCAAACTTCTGTACTTAGCCTAGGAGTTGAGCTGGATAAGGGTGTTTGAAAGATAACTGTAGATACTTCTATTTCATGTGAAACATTTTCACTATCCCTCCATTTTAAGCAGAAAATTAAGGCAGTTTTACTTACTGTACTGCTAACAACTCTATATAAGATACTAGTTTCCTTCAAAGTTGCCTTCAAACTTTCTAGAATTATCTGTACACTTCCTAGCCCATCAAGAAAATGATCATTGATAGGCATAATCAGGTATATTCAGCTTAAAACACTCATTTCTTCAAGATACCACCCATAGTAGTTTATATGGATGGATATGGAGAAGTAAATCCTAACAAAGAAAACAAATAGGAAAGTAGCTAGCATTATGGTAGCAGAAATCTCCATCATTCAAAGGTAAATTTATGATTTAAAAACAAAAATACTTGAAAATATAATATCTATAAAATAATACAAAAAAAAGATAATTTTCCTTCATTTGCTGGTTTTTACATGCATGTCACCACACTGTTCTAGAACTGAAAAACTTACTTCTGCCTCAATTTCTGCTTGTCTCTTTTCCAGGAGTTTTGCTACAGCCATGGCCCTGTATTTTCCAGATCTTTTACAGCTCACTGCCCATTCACAAAGCAATGTTACAACAGCTTCATCATTAGGGGCAACCTGTAAAAAAACAAATTGCATTTTACTCATTCAGTAAGAGCACTATTACCTCTCTAGGACCAAAGTGTTAATAAGTTCATACAGGCACTGTCTAACATCCTTTAAATTTTTTAAGTTACAGATGGCTGTTATGCATAACAGCAGAATTTTCCTGTTGCTATTACTCCTATTCATAATGCAAATTCTTATTCCTTGTGCCTGAAACATGTGAATAGGAACACCTTGTAGGAATGCAGCACACCACTCTGATCCTTTTATGGAGACACCATATTTAATACGACTGAGCAAAATCTAACTAAAATAAAGAAATCAATGGAGGTTCAAGATAATTTGTTTCTCTTCATCAAATGACTTCCAAATTACTAATACTCTCCTGAACTAAAGTACCCAGAAATGAATGACACATAATAGCAGCCAAATCACTACCACTCTACCAGAAAGCCTATCACCTGGCTGTAATGTGAAATCTCTGTGTATTAGATTGAAAATTGCACAATAAATAATTTTTATACATCTATCCTACCTTATATCATACCAAGCTGTTGCAGGGCACTGAGATGTGCCTGCTCCTTTAAGAGAACAAGCAGCCTGAGAGGTCGCTTATAGGTGTTACAGGGGAGCTAATGAGGGACTCGCCTGACCAGAAGGAGACTCAGGCTTAAGCTATGCAAGCCCAAAGACCATACGAGTCAGGTAGTCTCTCCCTCAGCAAGTACAAATAGGGTTACCATATTTTCAGTATCAAAAAAGAGAACACCTAGGAGAGGGAGGGGTGTAAGGGGGAGGGGGGAAAAGGAGAGAGGGGAGGGGCATACGATTGGTGGAGACAGTGATATACCTGTGCCCTACCTCTGTCCCTCACTCCCAAGCCCTGCTGGTGCCCCTCACTCCCAACCCACAGCACCCTGCCCCCCAGCGCTGTGGGTGTCTCTCATTCCTGACCTGCAGCCCCCTGCCCCTCAGGTGTCCCTCACTCCTGACACGCAGCCCCCTGCCCCTGCTAATGCCCCTAACTCCTGACCCACAGCCCCCTGCCCTCCAGCCCTGCCATTGCCCCTCACTCACAACCTGCAGCTGCCTGCCCTCCAGCCCTGCTGGTGCCCCGCACTTGGGACCCACAGCCTGCATCCCCCTGCCCCCAACTACTAACCCGCAGCCTCCTACCCCCCGCCCAGCCCTGCTGCCCACGCAGCTCCCGCATGCGTGCTTGTCCATGCACACACACCCCCATCTCTGTACCCATCTCTGTACCTGGCAGTGGCTTGCCAGGGCCTGCGCATGGAGCAGGTGACCCCTGGCAGCAAATCATCTTGCCCACTGCTCCCAGCCCCAAGCAGCCAGGCCAGGAAAACAGAGGCAGGGCAAAAACCCAGACATTTGCTTGCATTTAAAAATCCTGCCTAGACACAGGGGGCCAAAAAGAGGACAGGAAAACCCAGATGTATGGTAACCCTAACAAAGTGAGGAACTCTGGGCTATAGGGCAGCAGGGCTCCTAAAGGAAACTGGATTGAGCTAAACAACTCTGCAGGCCTGGAAACAGAGTTAAGTTCCCTAGGTAGAGAAAGGCTGGTTTACAGTCAAGCAGCCTTTGTTTTACAGTAGCCCCTAAAGGGTTTCAGGTGCATACCAGTGGTCCACATGCCCCAGGGGAGGACTGAGCCAGGAGCAGGGGGTCCAAGAGCCCAAGGCAGCCCGAAAGCATAGGCTAGACTGCAGTAGAACCCTGGACTGGAAGGTATACCTTCTGGGAGATGAGGAAGGTTTGCTCTCTTAAGGGGGCAGAAGGCTGCTTCTGCTTTATGTGTTTCTGTTATAGCCTAGGGGCTTATGGTTTATGTTACTGTTTAATCTAGTAGTTTGGGTTGGGACTGTAAAGGGAAGTTACGGAGGTCCCATTAGTGCTTGAGGGGCATCCCCATTCCAGGGGCAGGCTCCAGGCCTGAGTTATTGTTGAGCCCAGAGAAGAATGGAGTACAGAAGCACAACAAGATTGGGGCCAGGGGCCCAGTGAAAGTGATAAATCAAAGCTAGCGCCTCAAAGCCAGGTCCAATGCAGCAGGCCTAGGCTAGAAGACCTAGCAAGATTAAAGGGGTATAGGCCAAGGAGGCAGAGGCCCAACAGAGGAAACAGTGCTACCGTAATACCTGTGAGGCATGAGATGTGGTATAGGGGAGGATTTGGAACCACACAATTAGCCCTTATGGCTTGAGGTGCCCTGTGCAGCACAGTTATGGAGTGAGGCCCAGCAAGGGGTCTGAAGACCAGTGAGGACTAGTGGAAACCCTAAAGGGGGTCATCAGAATTGGGACCATGCAAAGACCCATGGCATGCTATTTATTATTTTATCATCAAGGAGTAACTGGCAAGACAGGAATGTGCCCTAGAGGCAGAGGGGGCACAGTCACGGAGCTCCAAGGTGGGCATCATGGGCATGCCTGCGACCCCAACTTGCGATAAACCCATGCCTAATTTACCCTCAATTATCATCCATGAAACTGTTTTGAGATTCATGTTTCCCAACTCTCACTCCCACACTGAATATCTGCTCTTTTATAGTATTGTACTGTTAGGCATACTACCTGGCATAACACCAGTTAAGTCAATTTTTTGTTAATCTCTCCCCATGGTTCTAGTTTCTTTGGATCCATACAGAACATGGATGCTGCTACATCTTCACTAGTTTTTCAAATACTTCAACATTTAGCATAAGCCACAAGTTAAATACTCTTTTTACTCCTTCCTATGGAGTAAAGCTACATTACAAAATTTAAATTTTAACATGTAAAAGTATGTAAAACAGACAAAAAACAAAACATACTCTGGAGAACTATGAAAAAAGTTACAAGCAGTAATGATGAACTGTTTCATGATTATCTGCATAATCATCCTTCTTACAATCATTTTAAGCCACTGGTAGAAAATGACATTGGGTCACTATGCAAAATATTTCCCACAAAGTATCATAGAATCATAGAATTAGGGTCAGAAGAGACCTTGTAGATCTTCAAGTCCGACCCCCTGCCTGGGCAGGAGGGAAACTGGGCTCAAGTGCCCCCAGCCAGGTAGGCATCGAGCCGCTTCTTAAAGACCCCCAGGGTAGCAACCCATCCACCACCACCCTCTGAGTACGACCCTTCAGTCAATTAGCAATCCATCTGACCGTGTAGGCATCGATGCCACAGTCGCCTAGTTTTTTAATGAGGATGGGGGGGGAGACAGTGTCAAAGGCCTTGCTGAAGTCCGGAAAGACTACATCCATGGTGACACCTGCATCCAATGCTTTTGTGACCTGATTGTAAAAGGCAATCAGGTTGGTCTGACATGACCTGCCCCTAATGAAACCATGCTGGTTGCCCCTGAGCATCATCCCCGATGCCAGCCCATCACAGATGTGCTCCTTGATGATCTTCTCAAAGAGTTTCCCCAGGATTGAGGTAAGACTGATGGGCCTATAGTTGCCCGGGTCCTCCCTCCTCCCTTTCTTAAAGATGGGGATCACATTGGCTATCTTCCAGTCATCTAAGTACATCTATGCTTAAGCAGGCCAGGGAAAGTTTTCTTGAAGACTTCAGAAAAGTGTAAAAGATAAAATGCAGAAACCTGACTTTGCATAGTTAGAAATGCAGAATGACAAAATAGTCCTGCATCTTTCCCGATTAAAATAAAATAATTAAGCTATCTGTTGTAGACGAAAGCAGTCTTAAAGTTGCAAGTATTGATACAGCATATTTTCAGACCACTGATATTTTACAGTCTACATTGACATTGACCTACTCTCCTTTCACCTAGCAATAGAGGACAAGACAAGACCTGGAAAAAACGTGATTCTGTAGCTTACAGAGGTTCTAATAAGAAGCTTAACAAAAATATTTTAGGTCACCAGTTTCCTATAGCAGCAACAGTCTTGCATATCACTTCTTAGTCCTGGGTAGGGAAAACAAAAACGAAACTGGGAGTTTTCTACTCCTTATGCGAAACAAAACCTACAAGAAAGGAGAAATGATGTCTGCTCCTAGTAAGACACATACCGAGTGCCAGTTTTTCAGAAGTATTTAGGGCATGGAACTCCAGTTGAAGGCTTTCTGGTAAACAAAGTAGTAAAGAAGCAAGAAATGTAGACTCTTACAGGAATGCTTCAAGTCATGAGGCAAACGTTTTCCGATTGCATCAGAGATGGTCAAATCTATGAACTATTAGGAGGAAAGTTTTGGTATTTATTTGTCCCTCCTGTTCAGGTTATCAGGTGTGATGTTGAGCATACATAGTAGTATCAAGTTGGGAAAGATCAAGAAAGGTATGAACTATTCACCATGATGTCATGGGCTTAGGTACCAGGTAGGAGCATGTTCAGTGGAGTGAGTGTTTTAGCAGGAATGAGTGTTGGCATACACCTGAGGTAAGAAAAGCTGACTGGTGAAATAGTGATGGAGATGTATCTTTGTTGCATGTATGATGATTGACAGCTGACTGATAGGTGTGTGCAAGTTCTGATCGGTTCAAGACTGTGGGGTGACTTTGGCCCTTAAAAGGTCAATCAGCTCTGGTCAATCCAGTCAGTCCCATGAACTAACTCTTTGAAAGTCATTCAGTCTTGATTCATTCCATCCTTGGTGACTCTCAGAGGGAGTGGTCTTGGAGTTGGTAAAAGTCTCCTTAAGAGAACTCTCCTTGTGTGGACCTGGGAAACTCGCTTTGGATCAAGAACCCAAGTTGAAAAGTTACCTGTTGGAGCCCAGGAAGTTGAGAGATTCATAGAGATAGGCTTACTTTTAAGTGGACTGGTAAACTATCGCCCTACCCTCAATAATCAAGGGAACCTAGTTACTGTTCTGAACTTGGGAAGCTCTGTCAGAATAGAACTGAGGATCCTGAGTGTGTGATGCTGTGTGTTTGGGAATTGGATACTTACCTGAGTGGTGGTGTTTCTGTATGAATTGTATGCAAGAACATAAGAGTTTTGAGTGCTTGAGTGAGGAATCAACTAAGTGATCTGAGTG